GAATTGTCACGATAGTCTACAAATAAAACTTCACCTTTTGCAGAGGCAAATACTTTCAGAGGTGTAAACATCAGAGATGAAACAAAGCGTTTTGCTTTACCCCTTATAAATCTTTCTTTGGTCTTCCACTTTTTTCCTACCTCTTAGGTAGCTCAAACAAAGCCAGTGAGGGAACAAATTAATGTGACATTATTTCCTTTTTATTAGGCCTCTATTTCCTTCAGCCATTGAGTTCTTAGCAATACGTTACTGTTAATTTTTTTCAGCAGAAGCATTTCCATGTGTTTGAGATAAGGGTGTTAGTATTTATCTAGATTCTGAAAGAGATACCAGAGTTGGAATAACAATGAAAAATGGGTACTGTATCTCCCTCCCTTGGGAAAAGATTTTTTTTTAAGTTGACAGTAAATGAGCAAGATGATCTCTCATATATCTGTCTAATACTAAGATTATATGGCCTTTGATTACAGTAAGGTGGCACATTCTCTTATTAGTGACAAATGGGAAAAGGATAGCCTCCACCTTTGGCGAGTGACTGCATTGAGTTATTAAGTGGATCTGGCCTGCCACCTTGTGGCCATAAGTGTTCAATACATATAAACACTTGGCAAGTTTTTCAGAAACCTAGACCCCCTAGCTGTGATAGAGTTGGCAATCAGGACACCTTGCGAGTTAGTTCATCAAAGATCACCGTAGCATCAAAGCCACTGCTGACAGAAGACAGGTGGCTTATTTTCTTAAAGATGTGCAAGAAGCCTCATGCTTATAACCTCTACTCATCTACAGCAGAAATCAAATTCACTAACCAAAATTGTCTTAGGGTCTGCAGCACTGCAAGACTTGGAGAAGGAAATGGATCCTTCTCCATCCAGGAAAAAAAGGATCTGGCCAGACTTATTCTGTCTGTTACATAGAAGAAAAATTAAGCAAATTCAGGAGAGAATTTTCTAGTTTCAGAACTGATACCGATGTGTTGTTCATCAAAAGCAGCCCAATAAATTGCTCACAACCCTAACTGGAGATCACTTGAGGGGCTTGTAAAAAGTAAAGATGCTTAGACTCTCCCCCGCCCTTCCCAGGAGTAATGGTGAAGTGAGGCCCTTATATCAGTGGTTTTTAAATGCTTGCCACTTACACTATGGGTAACTGAAAGGGTCCGTAGACAAAAGGACGAGACTGATATAAAGCAAAGGTCAAGCAAAGCTTTATTTCGCGCCAAGCATCGAGAATCAAACGGACCGGCCAGGGCCGTCTCTTGCAAAGAGGCGACCCTTCCCAGTCTCACAGACTAACTTTTATAGAGTAAAGGCCATGTGGTTGAGCCTGGCCACACACAGGGGGCCAATTGAATTACAGTCTACCCCATGATAGTCATCTAATTCAGCCTATGACCTTGGCTAGATTTGGCGCCTTTGTCTAGTGCCCAAAAGGCGGGGGCTCACACTCCCTGGCGGGTAATACGTGTGCTTTTACTTGATTGGACGTCCCCACCTGGCTGAACACGTCCTTGGCGGGTAGGGAGGTAATACGTGCGCTTTCCCTTGATTGGACGTTTCCATCTGGTCGGACACGTTCTTGAATCTGGACTCCGTTATCGGGGGCTATTTGGCCGTATTTCACCAATTCTGTTTCTAAGCGCTTTCCTCTTGGGGGAAGGGGCAGGTTCAATCTAAGTTTACTGCATAAACAACAAAATGGCTCACTCTGGCTAAGTAGGCCCTTAGAGTAACCAGAAATGGAAACACCATATTCCTTAACCCCATTCAGTAGGATGGATGATATAAAGCCACAGGTCATTTTGTTCCATGATATACAAACAAAACCCCCTATATTACAGCAGATTATCACACACCAATATTATCTAAGTTTTTTAAAAGGGTTAGAAGATGAAAAGAAACCCAAAATAAAAATTTTTAGAACTTCCTTGGAGAGACTCCAAGCAATCTGTTCTACAAAGAAAGTATCCCAGATGAGTCTCCTGGTCTTCATTCCTTTGGGGGCCTAGATACACTGTATTGTGGACATTATTATACTAATTGTGAATTTCTTTCATTCTCTGGCAAGCGTGACACTTAATCTAGAGGTTCCTTAGATTCTATCTACATACATAAAGCCTTGTTTAAAATGCAGCTTTCTGTATTTACCCTTCAGAAATTCACATAAGTAAGTTTGGAGTAATAAGGAGAAATATCTCTTTACTTAACAAGCCATCCAGAGACGGATCTCAAGGAGGTATGGCTTAGCCATATTGCAGCTTACTAATTTACCAAGGGCTTGGGAGTGTGTAAGATAAGGTAAGAGATGTTTTTATGTTTCATTTCTACTACAGTGGTTTTCAAAGTGTGGTCCTTAGACCAGTACAGTAACATCAGCACCACCTGGGAACTTCGTGCAGAAACACAAATTTGGGGTGCGTGGGGCACTGAATCTTTAAGCATCTGCCTTTGGCTCAGGTCATGATCCCAGGGTTCTGGGATCCAGTCCTGCATCGCGCTCCCTGCTCAGCCCAGTGTGACGTGTGCTTCTCCTTCTCCCACTCCCCCTGCTTGTGTTTCCTCTCTAGCTGTGTCTGTCTCTGTCACATATACAAATGAAATCTTTAAAAATTAAAAAAAAAATCAAATCCTAGTCCCCCTCTAGACTTATGGAATCAGAAACTCATGGTGAGGCCCCCAAAGTGTATTTTAACCAGCCCTTTCAGTGATTCTGATATATTCTTAAATTTGAGAACCACTGGCCAAACCATCCATCCTCCCTTATGGCTGTTTGGTGTAGCTTCTCCTTGTTCTTTGAATTTTTTTCTCATCCTCCTAACACATCGTTAGGAAGGAAGCATGTGTATGAACATGCTGTATATGAACATGTGAGGAAATGTATCGTATTTGAAATCACAAGACATGGATGGGAATCCCACCTCTTGTCAATTACTAGGAATAAAAGCATGCATAAATTGTTTTAATCTCAGAGTGATTTCCTCATTAAACATTAGAAAGGAAGGGAATATTTATCCAGCAGAGTCAAGAATTTTGCTTGAAGCATTAACTCCTTTGTCAGCTGCAATTGGCATTACTTGTAATTTAATAGATGAGATAACCGAGACAAAGACGAAAGGTGAATGTGCTTACCTGACCCAGATCCATGAGACACAAACCCTTTGGCAGTGTTTCTTTATTTCCAGAATGTGGACAAAGACTCCGTGAGTTTGTGGTTAAGGGTTAAATAAGGCACTGGAATTTTAAAAGGTTCATAAAAGGTAATATTATGTTTGTATATTTATCTTAGTAGTGTTGTAGGTTGGGTGGAATCAGCACACTCAGATCTTCAGCTGAGAAAAATCAATAGCTAATAAAAAAAAAGATGAAACCCAAGGCTCCAGCCGGCCAGGCGACTGGGTGACTTGACGACCCAGCATTCTCTCCTGACTCAGGCATCCCAGGTGACCCAGAGCGGAACATGTGCAGTTCTGCTGGGCAAAGGGGGAGGCTAGAGACCTTGCCTAGAAAGGAGCACAGAGATGCCATTTCTCTTTTGCCCTGAAGGGCCTAGAACAACCATTACAAATAACAGTCTTCAATTTCCAGATGAGCCTTCCTAATGAGAATCCTGCAGCTATTTCAGAAGCTTTGGGAAAAATAATAATAATAATTTCTGCCTGCTGCTCTCTCTACTGAATGTCATGCTGTGGTCCAAAGAAGGTGAGTGCTAGACATGCTAGACAGGCCACCACTGCCTGCAGGACATGTGACAGGTGTCCTTCTGGGCTGTAGTTAACAGGATTGGATCCCTGCGAGAAAGGCTTGCAGCTGTGTCTCACCAGGAAAAGCCAAGGGTCTTCACCATCATCCTAAGAGGAAATAACGGAGCCACACAAACTTCTGCACTATTGCAAATGCTACTTTTTTTTTTCTTTTTCTTATTGGGTGTTCCCCGATATACAACTCTTGCAAATGACGGAATTTCTAATTTTATGCTTCGAGAAGACAAGGGAGTAAAACCAGATGATAAACCCATGGTTAATATTTTGACTCTTCATGTTTGTTTGAGGGACAATTATGAAGAACAAGTAGGATCTGTGTAAGTACTTGAATATCTTGTAAAGAAATGTGTATCTCTCTATATTTAAGCCTATTGGTTCTGTTTCTTCAGAGAAACGTGACTAATATAGAGGGATAGATACCTTAGATGAATCTTTGGAAGGTCTTGGGCACTTTGGTGGCTCAGTCGGTTATCCGCCTTCAGCTCAGGTCCTAATCCCAGGGTCCTAGGATGGAACCCCGCATGGGGCTCCCTGCTGAGAGGGAAGCCTGCTTCTCCCTCTCCCACTCCCCAGCTTGTGTTCCCTCTCTCGCTGTGCCTCTCTCTGTCAAATAAATAAAATCTTTAAAAGAGTAAAACAAAATAAAGATTCATGATATTGATTCCAGCTCGATCAAGCTGGAAAATGGTCTAGCTATTCTGTCCCACGTCTATGTTTTACTGCGTGCTGTGGAAAAGACCCACAGTCCTGAGGATGAATGCAAGCTGAGTGGCAGCTACTGTTGTCAAGAAAATAAATCCTCAAGGAGAGTTTAACAGAAAAAAAAAAAAAAAACCTCCAAAAACCCTGTCTGTGGTGTTTCCATCATCTAAGAGCTGTCTTTACAGACATGCCGCTAAATATAGGTGGCTTCATTTTGACTCATGCCATATCTGGTAATTGTCAGTGAATGTCAATAAAACAGTGAAAATCTAAATTGTTCTGCCAGCTAGCCTGTTATTGTCATTATAGATAAGATATATTCCAAATAGGCAATAATGCTATTTAACGGTTTGCAAAGGATTTATTCAATATTCACAACCTAAGATGTAATTATTGCTATAGCTGAGAGAAAAGGAAGTCAGAATTTCATGTGAACAAAAGACAGATTGGCCCCTGTCCAAGACCTAGTGAAGTGGCAGCACTGAGATTCAAGCCCTATTTCTGGGCTCCAGATCTCCTAGTAAACTCCAAGGGACTCCCAGAGTTCCTTGAGTGGCCCTTTTCTAATCTGCGCTTTTAGGGTTAATTTGGTTCTTAACAGAATTACCTAGTCCTGGAACTGAGACCTTCTGTGTTATAAAAAGTTACTGTTCTTTCACTACTTTTGAGCATAAACTATATTGTCAGCATGGTTATCCCCAGTTCATGTGAATCAGTGAACAAAACAAAGTTGCTGCCTTTGTGGAACTTATTATCTAGTGAGAAGACTTGAATTAAAAAAAAAAAAGTTAAAGTGCAGTCAGTTAAGCACCAGACTTTTGATTTCAGTTCAGGTCCTAATCTCAGGGTGGTGAGGTCAAGCCCCACCTCAGGCTCCAGGCCTAGTACAGAGTTTGCTCAGAGTTTCTCCTCCTCCCTGGGACCTTCCCCTCCCCACTCCCTATCCCTTCCCCCACTCCCAATCTTGTGTGCATGTACTCTTTCTAAAACAAATCTTAAAAAAAAAAAAAGTAATCTGTGCTAAGTGAAGAAACAAGCATGGTAGGAATGAGTGGGAGAGCAGTGAGTAGGTGCAGGTTGCTAAAATACTTAAAAGGGTGCTCAGCGTGGTCCTGAGATGACAGGCGAACAAAGACTTAGAGGGAGTTAGCTAATGCCAGCCCCTAAAATACAGCTTACTTTCAGCCTCTGAATGCCCAGCAGGAGGCAACCCGCACACTTTCACTGAATAATCTGGGGTAATGTTGAACCTACTTAGAAGTGCGAAAAATAGAAAATGCACTTCAGCCCTCCACTCAAGATCTCAAGATCACTTTATTCAAGTTTAAGGTGCTTTAGTACCTCTCAAACAAAGCCATAAAGATCTTCAACACCCTGCCAGGTTGCAAACAGAACGGTCAAAATAAATGGTCCAACACGCTGTTGGACCCACGCCAGAATGACCTGGGGCTTCTTAGTCACTGTTCGAACAATGGCATATTGAATTGTCATCCTGACCACTTCTAGGGGTGATCACTTCCTGCTACTTCAAACCTGGAAAATAATCTGCATGCATTTTTATGAAGTACCGAAGTGCTCACAGCTGTAATATAGTAATAGAAAGTGGGAAAAAATGGTCCTATAATATACAAGCAATCAGGCTCACATCACCACAGCCTGTCACATCCTTTGCAACAGGGACTCTCTTGTTTGTGTTTCTGAGTTTTTGGTTGTTTTATTATTATTATTATTATTATTATTATTATTACTATTATTATTATTTTTAAACATGTTCCAAAGTGAGAAAAACAAGCTCCACAGCCCCGAGTTACCCACAGGACCATGTGCCACAGGCCAGAGTTGACTGAACTTCACACCCCACACAGTAATATCCAGGTGAAGAGAGGGGCAGGTGAGGAGGTGTGTGGCAGGCAAGGGACAGGAAGGACATACCTGGTTACTCAGGGCTGCACTGAAGAGACAACTTGGCCTTACAGCCACCTCGGCCAAAATGGGCCAGTTTCTGAAGATAATTGGTGGTTTCATACAGGGGGTTAAAAAACAAAAAACAAAACAACAATGAATGCTCAGTTTGTTCAAATCTATCAGAGTAAAAAAAGATCCAAAAGAAAACATAGCTATGGATAGTTGATCAACACAAAATGGAATCAATGTACCAACTCGTTTCTTTCCAGAAGTAACTGACTTTGTTCTTTACAGCAGACTTGATTCCGTACATGTACATTTCAAGTGTATATCACCACCCCCAGCCCAGACACAACATATCAAAATCATCCCATACCTGCATTTGTTTAATGATAAAAAGATGCAGAACGGCTTAATGTATTTCCATAGCAACCGGCAATAAAACACTGTGTTCGAAGATCACTGTACCAGCCAGAGGACTGTGCAGCACCACTTTGGGGACACCGTTCACATGTGGCCACAGAGGCATATCTGGGAGTGACACGAGGCAGTGCCTGTGCTTCCCTAGCCACCACTATGCTTTTAAGTGCACAGTGCTTTAAAGGAAGAGCACAAATCTGCACTGAGGAAGAAAAAATGGAACAAAGCAGTCCACTCTGCCATTCCGAGGTGGCATTTTTTCTCAATGTCCCCCACACAGAGCTGTACTGGGGCATGCTATGTTAGATGGCACTGGTGTTCTCTTGATGGGGATAGAAACTTCCTTTTTTTTTTTTTTTTTAAACTTAGTATAAGGAGTAGAACCATGTTTTGTCCACTGGAAACTTGTGACAGTAAAGTATGGAACCATTAATAAATCAGGACAATGAGCATGAACCAAAGCTATCCTTGGGAAAGCGAGATCCAGGCCCGGCTGACATACTAGGAGATCTTTCTACCAGCAAATGTAGCAAATACAGCAAAGGACTCACTCAGCTCTGCTGCTGAGTCACACTGGCCTCCAAGGGAAGAGTGGGCTTTTGACACATCATTCAACCTTGGTCTCCAGAAGGAAGCATCAGAGTAAGTCAATATTACCTGGGACATGAGGCCAAGGTTAATGAAAAGGATATTTCCTAATATGTTTTTAGTTCAAGACTGACACAATGGCGTGAGGATACAAAGTGGCTTTCAAGCCTCATTAGCAGGAAACACAGGAGACAGGCTTGGGAGATACTGTTCACAAAAGAGCAGCATACCCAAATCACAGCATTCAAGTATCTGGTATGGCTCTGACCTGAGCTAAGTTCTGCAACTTTATACGGACTGCATGGCTCAGTCAAGCAAATGTCTCTCTTTGGCTCAGGTCCTGATCCGAAGGCCCTGGAATCAAGTCCCACTTCATGCTCCCTGCTCAGCAGGAAGTCTGCTTCTCCCTCTGCCTGCTGTTCCCCCTCTTTGTGTTCTGACAAAATGTTTAAAAAAAAAAGTTATTCAACTTTACAGACCTTTTAAATCAGAAGGCTGATCTAAAAGAATGTGAAACGTCCCACCCAAGGGGCATTGCCCCACCAGGAGTATCCAGATATGAGGAGGACAGAAATAAAAAGCCACCTCGGGGAGAGTCTCCAAACTCAAGTTCGGTTTAGCAATGACAGGTCTCCTGTGCTACGGGGACTGTCTCCAACATGCAGGGAGCAGGATCTGCCATACATTTGTTAGCTTCTAACCATTCACCTAATCTCATTCCTAACTACTGGGTTAAGTCTACTCATTGCAAAATAGTGTGTATTGTCAATTCAAATACTAGCTTCCACTTGACTATATCAGAAACACCCCCCTGAGGTTTTTCTGTCAGTACCAACAAGGTGTTCATTTTTAAGGCTTTCATGTAAAACATCCGAATTCCTGTGAGCTTTCCATAATTCTCTGCTTGGGGGCCTCGGCTTCGTCCTTCTCTCAATCCTGACTTAACTTTTTCCATCAGTGCACTGGGAATGGTTTGGTGGTGGGTGGAATCCCCCCATGGGTCTTTTGTAGCCACCTGTTTCTATCCATCTGGTGACTGTGATATTGTCCATAAAAGTCTGCAGGGACAGACACCGCTTGGACACATGGCTTGCAAGAGATGAAACAGGATCAGAAATAGCTTTTAAGATTAAAAAAGGAGTTTCTACTACTTCCTTGGTTTTTCATGGTCTCATAACTTGCACCCTCACTACCCACCTACATTTTGGTCCCAAATGAATAAATGAGAGACTCATATGGTCAGAAGACATCAAGCTTGTTCTAATCCCGGAAGCCTTACCTCTGTGCCATTTATTCCTCTGGGAGATGGTGGCCTCATGACCAAGATGTGACAGAACAGGTTTGGCTGGGACTCAGACTAAAACCAGGTAGAAAGAGCAATGCCTCTCCACCTTGAGCGTGCAGCAGAAATCAGGAGCTGGTTAACAGCACAGATGCCTCCACTGAGATTCTGAGTCCGCTAAACCTGGAACAAGGCCCAGATATCTGCACTTCAATGAGCACACCCCCGCCTTACCCCTTATAGTCTCACCCAGGCAGTGTTCCAGCCTCAGCTTGGAGAAACACAGAAAGCAATGACAAGGCATTATCTGTGGAGCAGACCATCACACACATGTCACCCAGGCACCAGGCACACTGCCCCACCACACTCACCTCTGAACTTTAAAGGCTAAGTAAACCTGTCTGTGTCTGACCACACGGGAGCGTTCATTTCTAACAGCTGCCCTCACTCAAAGCTTTCTGCTCCTAGTCCACACACCATCTACTCACATGTACAGTCCAAAAAAGCAACATTTCTGAACACACGGTTGGTTTCCAAGGTATGCAATTATTTTATTTCCTTGGCCTGACAGCATAAACTTCATTACACAAAAATCTGCAGCTGACAGAATGGACACAGATTTCTCCCACAGGAAGGACCCTTTTCATTAGCAGAGATGAACTGAAATGTCATGTCTTGAGTGTGATTCCTGCTCCCCACCCCCACCCACACAACCCCGAAAGTGACAATAATCCGAATCCTTAGAATCCCTGTGAAGTATTACATCATCCCCTCACACCTGTCTAACTAGCAGCTGCAGTACGTGAAAACCTAAATCAGGAGGCAGCTGGCCATCACTTAGCAGTTCTGTGTGCCTGGGACTGAGGGACAGCAACAAGGGAGCAAGAATCCTGGCCGAGCGAGAGGCACAGACAACCTGTCTCACCTCATACCGGCCCCTTCCACACGTAAGACATCTCTGTCCCTATACATGGAGCGAAGTTTGGGAAATGCTGAAGGAGTGGTTTTAGCCCGTAACTGGAAATGGTTGTGGCTCACTGCAGTCCCACAGAGGTGTGGGATAAGGGGCACCAGAGAGAGAGCAGGTTAGACAGAGATGCTCAACTTAGTCAATTCCAGTTTAATGCTACCAAAACCATCTTCAAAACCGTACCATCCCTCATGCCTGGCCCCCATCTTCCAGTGCTGAGAGCGCCAGCTCAATGTCTGCCTAATGTCTATCAGCATCACTGGGCGGCGCTGTGATGTCTGGCTGTGGGATTATGAATGGGATGGGGTGGGGGCATGGAGATAGGTCAGGGTCACAATGCTCTAATTACAATGGGCTTCTTTTGGTCCCTAGGAATGATCTACTACCAGTAGTCTTAAAACATCCTCATCCCCTTTCCCTACCTATCTTGTGCAAATGTCAAAAATAGAATCTCTGCCCAAAGAGGAAGGAGAGCAGGAAGTTACTGGTGGTCCACAATCATCTCTGGCCCCAACTTGCCTGCCTCCTGCCTCTTCTGTGAAGTCACACAAAAATTAATTCACAGGAAGGTTGTGAAATTAAATCGTCTTCATTCCTCTATCAAAGCCAATCCAACACCTCTGTCCTGACAAGCTTTCTCCCTGGGCTGAGGAAGCAGCAAAAAATATCAACTGAGCGTGTGAAAATATGATGACGGTGTGTGCGGTGTAGTGTTTCCAGATGTCTTCCCCTCTGTCTCCTCCACGGTGGGAGCCCTCCCTCTCTTTCCCCAAGCCCCACACACACCCCTCCCCCTACCCCCAAGTCCAGGTGCTCCCATCTGCTGGGCTTCCACCACTCACTTCCCATAGACACTCTCGTCACTGTAAGCCACATACAGAAAATAGTCTTCCTCGTGGTTGTCCTGAGGGAAGAGACAAGAGGAAAACATAACATTCATTAGCTTCAGGATTCTGAGCCTCACACAAGGTAGGCAGGTATGCAAGGCATCATTAGCTTCCACTGAGAAAAGAATAAAGAATATGCAGAAGTGACTGGAATTCAACTTTTGAGTTCACAAAGAATCTTCAAGGAGAACATCAGTACATACAGATTACCAGAGATAAGAACATGACCCTTGAGAAAGCTCATTCCAGCAAGGGAACACAGATACAAAAATATATATATATACTACAATATACACTAACAGAGAATATATGCTATAGAATTAAAATGAGATTAAGAGATTATTAGAACAAGTTTACACAACTCACAGGGCATAATAAGAAGGAAGTACTATATGAAATCCTTTAAGGAATAATATAGCCACAAAATTGGGTGATACAGCATGAGCAAGTCCTTTACAATAGTTTTTTCATTAGATTCCGAATAGTGTACCAATTAAACCAAATGAAGTCAGCAAATTATTGTCTCCAACTCAGTTTATCTGTTAAGACACATGAAACAATTTAAACGCTTCACCTTGTACTTTAAAATTTCATTTTATTTGGAATTTGCAATCGGAAACAATTTCTTGCTTTTTCAATAAAGATGATCCAAGATGAGAACCCTAGAATAAGGCAAAACTGAGAATTTAAAAAGAATGAATCTAGTAGGCTGCTCAATCCCTAGAGGACAAGTGACATCTAACCGCCCACAGCCGTACACTGTGGTGTGTAAGAGGATACAGTAACACCTCTTGCCCTACTTCCTAGGCGTGTTATCAGCAGACCCTGGAACAAAGGCTGGAGAACACAAGCCTGCACGGGATTGTTGTGACCAGGACACTTACCTCATATAGCTGGCCCATGGTAGCGCTAGTGGGAGGGATAGTGTTGTTGACAAAGAAGAATAAGGCGTCCTCGGGCCTCAGGTGGATCCTCTTCCGGATTAAGAAGTAGAACTGGCCAACTGGAAAAAGGAAGGTTTCAGAAAAGGATTACGTAAGGGGAAGGGTCGGAGGAGGGGGATGGGTGGGACGGACACAGGACTGTACTGCACCTGTGCCCTTTAAAGTAGTAAACAGAATCTCAGCAGAATCAAATACTGTCCTGTAACTTCAGAAATGGAATTACAGCTCAAAGAAGCCTCTATATTCCCTGATGTGCCACCAAGAAGTTTACCCTTCAATCCTTTCCCGCTTTACTCAATTTCAGACATCATGTCAGCACCTCCACTCAAAGCCCGAGGAGACTCTGAGGGAATCCTATGTACATCCAGACCATCATTGTCTAAATGGGATCTGAAAGGCACTTCCATCCCCATTCCCACCTTATGACAAACAAGTTATTGGGGGCTCTACTGGACATCAGTAATCTCAGCATGGTCACTCATCCCAAAGTCTGGGCAGTAAGTGGGGTTGGGTTCAACACTGCACCTTCTATCGAACATACTGAAAAAGTTCTCGAAGACTGACATTCAAATCTAACAACTCTGGAGCAAATACATCTTCAAAATCTTTCCAGGGTTTTCTGGATTCACTGGTTATTCCATTAAGGATCATTAAGGTGAAGAATATAGTCTTTGTAACCCCCAAAAGTATCTACAAAACATATTCCCACAAACAGTAGTTTAAGGAGACAAAGTACTCAGCTAAGAATCTCTAAAATGTGATCCTCCCTCTAACTTTCCTTTTGGAATAAATTGTTAGTACAGTAACAAAGCAGATTCTAAAACACAGGCATCTGGTCATTGCTTTCAACGTTGCGCATTCTGCTTTATCTAAATCACACAAGACACTGTGATAGGAAATGAGTAAGGTAACTGGCAAAGGAAAACGGTTGAGTCATTCCTGTTTGAGTCCCCCTCTCTCGGAAGAATCCCACCCACTTTCTTCAACTCTACTTCCTTTCAATCCCACAATTTCACGCACACAGGAGGGACCAAAGAGGCTCTTCCATGGGAAGGAGGGTCTGAGGAGGGAGAAAGCATTACCGGTGAGGTCAGAGGGCACCAGGTACTTCCTTTTGTCCAGATCAGGCACCCTGGCCTTGGGAGCCTTCTCCACAATGACCTGGGAGAGAGGAGGGGGAGAATGAAAAATACAGGACTCAATCTAATATTTTTCCTTCCACATTCTACAGTTACCCTACTGAGGTACGTTTGTCTAGACCCAATAAAATGTTCCCATTTTTCATCCCCCTTTACCTCTTAGAAAAACTATGGGAACAAGGACTTCCATAGTAAGGTTATAGTTCTATTACTGCAGTAAGAAGAGAATAGAAGGAGAGTGCCAAAATGTAAACAGAACCTTGAGTTTAAGTAATTACAAGCTACCTGTCAGGTACAGATCTGTACTTCCCGGTATTTAATGAGAGCATAAAGAGGACTGTGGAATGTTCAGGAATAGCACAGAGAACATGAGAAGCAGGAAGGGGAAAATGAAGGGGAGGAATCAGGGGGAGATGAACCATGAGACTATGGACTTAGGAAACAAACTGAGGGTTGCAGAGGGGAGGATGGTGAGGGGATGCATAAATCTGGTGATGGGTATTAAGGAGGGATGGACTGCATGAAGCACTGGGTGTTATATGCAAACAATGAATCGCGGAACAATACATCAAAAACTAACGATGTACTGTATGGTGACTAACATAACACAATAAAAAAGGAGGGGGAGGTGGAGAAAAAAAGGGAAAAAGAAAAAGAAAAAAAAGAGGACTGTGCATTTCCTCCAAGGCTCCCGAGTACCTACTAGTTTTATACTAATGAATGCTGCTTATTAAAGGTATAGATAAAATGTGGTTTCAATTTTATACTTTATTAAAATTTTCAAGAATAACTGCCAAAAAATGTTCTAGGCACATTTTATGTGAAAGAAAGTACCAAATCATACTTAAGAGTATGAGATCCTGTATTATGATGTCACTTCCAATAACCCATTTATCAACATTGATTAGGTGTTAGTATTTTAAAGGGATTTCAATGTCTACATTAAATATTTCTAGATTACTTGAAATTTTACAGATCATATATTTCTGTTAACAAAAAAGAAAAAAGTATATATACAAAAATTAAAGATTTTAAGCATAAAATTTTAAATATTCATTTAATAACATTTATATTTATGGAATAATTACAAAAATACGCTTAGTATTTATAGCTTACATAATGGAAATCATAAATATTTAAAATGTTTTGTAAAACCATTAGCTTTAGATTTTTAGTTTAGAAAATACAATCATTCCTGATCAAACACATGGAGAGTTACAGAAGTAGAAGTAACACTAGGCAAGTATCCTGAGGAACTGTGTGAGCTTCAACAGGTCACTTAACTTCTCTGAGCCGACAGTAACTCTCCAACACATCTTTTATTGTTGGGGTTAATGTAAAGGATGGAATCAGCCATAATACCTGGCTTGCTAAAATGTTAACATGGAGGCTGCTGAGGGCATAGGAGGTTTCTGAGAAGGGCGTAGGCCTTCCTTTGGAATGCCGGGCCTGGGACCACTCTGCCACTAGAATGCCGCGGGGAGTTCTTAGTCCCAACAGCCACCCTGAGATCGAACAGATGTACGCACTGTCCCTTAGGCTAAATTTAGCAGAACTCATAGACCATGCAGATTAGCATAGCGTATCTTTCTTGTAAACAGATCCTCCTAGGTTCAGTAAGACCCCTAGTCACACATCCTGTGCTTGAAAAACAGTGATAAAGATTTGTGACTATCCTGAAGGACCAATAAAATCGGGAGCAAAGAAGAGCAAAGGGTCTTCCTCTTGGAGTACTGACCCCTTTGCCTTCTCTTCTCTTTTACAGCGAAGTCTGGAACAAGCGTTCCGCTTGTCAGTACAGGGATTGTGGGCTATTCCCGGCATTTTACAGTCACGGTACTGCTACAATAACCTTGATCCATGAAATTTTATGTGAAAATGACTTGTAAATTATAAAGAATTACCTTAATATATGAATTGACTGAAAGGGAGGGACTTGTGGCTTGAAGTTCTTAAGTGAAACACATTAAAATAGTAAAAAACATTATTTTGTTTCTGGAGAAAAAGAATACTGAACCAGGAAGATCAGAGGGACATGATCCCACTAAAAATTTAAAAATGCAAACTGGAGAAAAAAATACATTAATCAGAAATTTAAAAGAAAAAGTAAGAAGAGGTTCAGGGAGAGACCTGTGAAGGCCAAACAATGAGGATGGACAGAAGGTAGCAGGTTACTAAAATCAAAGGGAAAAGAGAGGGAGCGTAGCAATGTCTCAAAGGACCCTGAGAGCTGCCAGCTCCCATCAGTAGGAAGCGATGGAAACAGCAGAGAGCAAAAAAAAGGGGGGGGGGCAATAAAATATACAGCAAGTAAGACATCCAGACAGGAGGGCAGGATTTGGAGAGGAACAGGAGGGGGTTGGGTAATCATTAAGGCTTTGGCTTACCAGAAAATACTTGAGGTTTCCAGGAATCCCACCTCTACCTGTGGGCCCTTGGCTAGATCCATTTCCTCTTTGGTTCTAAGGTTTTTCTTCTGTGCAATGTGGTCAATATTCCACAGGGCCTTTGACAAAGTTTAAAGGCTAGACAATCTGTTCCTAAATTTCCTACAGTGTTCCAGGTTTTCAATACATTGTAGCTATTAAGATACTTTAAGATCTCAAGAAAGCCTCCCAAGTTATGAGCCCTCTGTTCTTTCATGATAGCTAAGAGGTAAGTTGAGGCCAAAGGAAATTGAGTTATGTGAGCAGTCAGGGTACTTGACTGCTTTGGTAACACCAATGGTCTAGTTGGAAGGAGCTTTAGAAATCACTTATGCTTAAGCCTTTTTTCTGTATACTGGACACTTTAGTACAGCAAGGTTAAGGATCCTGCCCAGAACTAGAACAAAAATCTCCCAACTCAGAGCAGAGATCTCTTCTTCCTGCATCACAACTACAAAGGTGGTCACAGGGTGAGCACCCGAGCAGCAGCTGGGAGGCTTATAAATTAAAATCCAACTGGAGGAACCATGAGATCTGAGTGATGATTCTAACAGCTTACAAATTATCTCACAGGTAAAACACTTTTTACATCAAACAATAAGCAGGAAAATAGGAAGGATGAGTTGAAATATTCTAGGTGAATTCATGTAAATGACTGAGATAGGAAGGTCTCAGTTGTGAAGAAACACATGGGAATTCTAACTAGATTTAGGAACAGGTACATTTCAAAGTCTGTGACTTAGGCAGAGCTACTGGTACAGAGCCTCATATTTAAGAAAATTCTGAGTAAACAGTGGTCCGTGATGTTTTCTGGCATCATAGGACTCTCACGTTTTGAGGGCTGTGATTTTTTTTCTTGATTTCCAACACCTAACAGTGTGAGGTACACAGTGCCTCCTTAATTGTTTGATAGAACTGTATTAGAAATTGAGAAACGATACGGCATGGAGAATCCAACAACCAGAGCTGGAATCTCAGCTCTGCCACACACCAGCCCACAGGAAACCTTTAGGAATACTTGATTTCTCTGAGCTACAGATCCTTCATCTGTAGAATGGGATTATAATGGTGTGAGGGTTGAACTGAATAAAGTCAGAGCACATACAATACTGCCAGGTTCAGAGTTAACTATCAATCAATGAAAGCTATCATTTTAAAATATTTTAAGAAAGTAGGATTTCAGGGGAACTTCTGAAGCAGCCACCCAAGGTCCAGAGATTAAACAAGTAGAAGGATCATTTAGTCAGTGGGTAACTGGGCTAGCTCTCCTTTTTACCGGAACACCCATGTGTGCAATTTCTGGTGAATGGAACAGCCCTAAGGTCTGGCTTCCTTATAAAGCACTGCAGGGCATTTGTACTGCTGGCAGAAGGCCCAAGTGGCTTCCAGTAGCTTTAATACCGTGAGAATCAGGTAAGGATTGGAGAAGAGTCCCCAAGAGTACCCCCCCCCCCGTCCCCGCAGGTCAAGAACTGACACCAGATAATCACAATTACTTTACCTGTACATAATATATAATCTTTATCCTAATATCCCCGCCTGAATATATCACAGTCTGAAAGTCTCTGCTCCACCATCTTCAAAACCTAAGGAGGGTTGTTCCCCCCACCACACTTAAAAGTCTTCTGCCTTCCAATCCGGGTGCGTAGCCTACATTACAGAAAACCAGGCAAGTGGTGGGGGAGGGGGTGACGGGAAAAGCGCCCGGATGCAGAAAGCTACCTTAATGTTTCCTCTGTTCCTCCTGACTGCCCGCACTCATTTTAACCACATAAACTAGCTTCCAAGACGTCAAGAAAAGGGCCTCAGTCCTCGTTATTGCGTCCAGGTATAATCTAGTAGAATGAGTACCGGAGAGAGGCTGCTGCATCCACAAATGCCCCCGGAGCCAAGAATGATGAGGCAATCCGGCTGTTGCGCAGAGAACGTGACCTTGTTTTCTGGGCCAGGCCTGTCTTGTGTCGTCCCCCCCACCCCCCAACACATACTTTTCTAATTCTTATGGAATAAAAGGAAGGATCCCCTGGTTTCTGAATCTTTCCCTCCCAAACCCAATGTTATGAGGGCCAAAGTCAACTTAAGGGAGAAGCCCCTAAGGCAGAAACGGATGGACGCAATCCTCATCGCATCAAGTTATTTCCAAAACATTTTCCCTGGGGTCTTAAGGCGAACAAATATAGGGTCCCAACCCGATCCTTCTCTCATAAAAGGGCCACATTTTGAACACATCTCAACCTGCACATCCTCTGAAGACTGCTGAGTCACTCAAACGTAGGCTCCGCTCTGAAGATGCGGTCAGCTCTAAAGATGACGGGCCCTGGGGAGATGCGTTTTGAAAAATCTGCAGTGAGAACATCCATTCCACGGACTCTCCTAGCAGTGAAGGGCGTTCAGGGCTCAGTCATCACAGAGACCACCCTTCTTCCTGTGCCTAAGGGCAGCCATCATGACTCCCCCCGTCCCCACAACCCCCGCTCATCCTCTTCCCTCCCTCTCCCCGTTCCCCCTCGCACTCACAGGGACCCTGTCCGGATATTTCTTCCGGATCTTTTCTCCTTCCTTTTTCCGATACTCAAAGGGATGGTCCTCCTTATACTGGAACTTCATGATGGACCGCAGGGTTTCTAAGATCCCCGGACGGGGCCTGCCTTCCTCGCTGATGGTTGCGTGTCTCCCGTCTCCCTTCCCTCCGCCAAATTTCGGGAGGTATGAGAACCGCCTCAGAAATGTCAGCTCCCGTCGCAACGCTGCTTGGCAGAGCTCTCAGAAGGGATGTCGGGGCCCCTCGGACGCAGGACGGACTCGCTCAGGTAGAGAAATCCCGGCGGCTTTTCCCGAGAGCCGGGAGCACAAAAACAACACGGCGGCGCGTTGGCATTGTGACGTCATGACGTCCCGCCTCCCCGCCCCGCCCCCAGCGTTTGGACCGCGCCGGGTGGGGGGAAGAAACTAACGCGATCTATTTTCGAGGAGTTCTCTTTCAATCTAAACTTTCCTGTGTCCAGTTTGTTGCAAACAGGAAAAAAATTTTATCTCGAATTCTTATTGTGACTGTGATATTAAAAAGGCCTTGAGTGCAAAAAAATACGTTATAAAGATATGTTCTTCCCTCTTCTCGCTGTTTCTTGGTTTGATCCAAAAACAAACACGGAGGGCGAAAATCCAGCTTTTTCCTGCTTATTGGGATCTGGAGTGTAGGGAAGGAGGGAATGGGGGTCCTGTAATTCCTTTGACCAGTACAGAACTGCCGGGTGCTTGCATTTTGCCCTGGGCTCCCTGGGCTCCTTCCGTCGCGCCGCCAGCTCCCGGGATACTGGGCTGGCTCCCTTCGACCCTGACCCCTCCTTCACCACGCTGGCGTCATTTTGTTTGGGTCCTTGCTGCAATTTGCTCCTAGAGCAGCAGCAAAAACAAAGCATGACTCAGGAATTTGAGGAGATGCACAAGGTGAAGGGCAAGCGATGTAATCAGGGTCTGGAGAAATGATGTCAGTCACGACTGCTAAGGGCTTCGCTCATGTTCCAATATAGAAATGATTCACTTTCTCCTCTTAACTCAGAAGTTGGGCCTGTCTCCTGTAAAAGAAAATATCAAGGTTAACTCGATACTCCTTAAACAGTTCTGTTTTCTGCAAAAATTTACCAAAGGATGGTACTATTTGTGAAGTGTCCCTAAGGTGAAAATAAAGTGCCACCCAAAGAGCTGGTGGAAAATTGGTGGGCTAGGTGACATCGTTGCCTCCCTCTGACCCTCTCCTCTCCTAAAAATCTAAGGCCTTTGCGACCACACTGCTGTGATTCCAGGGACTTGTAGGGCGAGGGCAGCAAAGACCATAAAAGATACAGAAGAGACAGGAAGGACCGCTTTACTCTGATTGAGTCCACGGAGCTCTGAAATATACAATGGCAGTCCCAGTCACCTATCTTCTTTTATCACGGCGTCAGTGTCTAGTTTAAAAAAACCAAAAAGTTAAATAAATATATATATGTATATATACATATATATATATACACATACACATATATATATATAAAATATGCTTACATATATTATATATGTATGTTTCATCATTATATGTATATGTAAGTTTCACCATTGAAAAAAGGAAAATGAAAAACATAGCCTTGCTTCTTGATGTTAATTACTTTTCTCTATGGCATTTTTC